GGGAAAGAGAAATTGCAAACTTGTTTTATACTAGTTCGGCCAATCTTGCCTACGTCCGGTCCTCAAGTCTCTTACTTGAGATTTTCACTATTCTTGTAGTACTTACAAGACTTGAATCCTCCAACACCTTGAAATTCCCTTTCCTTGTGTTGAGATTCAAAAACCAACAAAGAGAATAACTCTTTCTCCTTTACAGATCAAATGATCAAGTGGGTATAATAGAGTAACTCTCTTTGAAGAGTAGATATAACACTTTTAAGATCTTAAGGGAAAGAGAAATTGCAAACTTGTTTTATACTAGTTCGGCCAATCTTGCCTACGTCCGGTCCTCAAGTCTCTTACTTGAGATTTTCACTATTCTTGTAGTACTTACAAGACTTGAATCCTCCAACACCTTGAAATTCCCTTTCCTTGTGTTGAGATTCAAAAACCAACAAAGAGAATAACTCTATTATCTCGGTGATCCATGTACGAACAGACCCCTCTACTACTAAACATTCAGCAGCTACCACACTTGGCACTTCAAGATCCAAGTGAAGTGTGGTTCGTAACTGCCCAGGTTTTCTGGTACTGCTTGCCAATCGAGCCAACTGGTCCATTCACTATTCTTGTAGTACTTACAAGACTTGAATCCTCCAACACCTTGAAATTCCCTTTCCTTGTGTTGAGATTCAAAAACCAACAAAGAGAATAACTCTTTCTCCTTTACAGATCAAATGATCAAGTGGGTATAATAGAGTAACTCTCTTTGAAGAGTAGATATAACACTTTTAAGATCTTAATATACTTTGTGTTAAGTTTTATCAATTTAGGTCTGGTTTAACAACTTGTTACACTAGGTTCAATGCATTACATCATATATAAGAACCCATAATTCCATTTTAAACCTTTTGAAATACATGGGAAATTGTTATATTTTGAGATATTTTAAAAGATTAATTTATTCACAAAATTATTTTGAATTAAAATTAAAATTATTATTTTATTAATTACAGGTTTTAA